TTTCAATGAGCGAGCGAGCGAAAAAAAAAACGCGATTAAAATGCGGTCGGTTTCCGGTCGGACAAGACCGCGTGGTCGGAAATTAAGCGATAAGCGGTCGATGTAAAAGCGGAAGGTTGGGCGAAATGAGTACTGTATGACCATGTTTCTCCGACGAAGTCTCGACTGACAATAATGCTGACAATGGACGTTAGATAAACACGCATTGTTTGCAACTGGGAGCTTATCACCCGTTATATCAGAATCGTCAACAACAGAGTATACAGATAAGATGTTATCATTTAAACCTTTTAAAGATAAACATTATGCAAATATCCACGAAACGGCAGTTGTAGTCTTTTCTGCTAGTGTTTTAAAACACTAATTTGAGCAACGTTATTTCGCAATTTCGATCTTTTGTAAACCTGGGGTGATGTATCAAGGTCTAAAGTAATCGTTTTATCAATTTTTGAAAAATCAAGAAAAAAGTGAAAATTTCCCTTCTCGCTACCTTAAGACACACAATGTATGCAGACGGGTGAAACTTTATGAAGATTTTGCTTCAAGTCTGGAGATAAATCAATTGAAAGACAAAGTATTATATCACAGTTGATGTGATATTTGTGTATCTAAGTGTTCATGTGAACATGGCAAAGATGAGAGTAGTTATATTGAAAGACATCTTATTCATTACTGTGCTGATACAGATAGTGTTAGCAGTGACAGTATAGTCAATTGCAATAATTGAGAATAGCTCATCAAGCACTGGTACAGAGGACTGAACGTGTCATTGATAATATCAGTGTGAAGTTGGTATAATCAGATTGGCATTGTATTTGTATTTTATTGTCATCTGATTAAAAACATTTAAAGAATAATGAGCATTGTCATAATGTTATTCAGTGGTAAACAAGAATTGATCACATTGTCATAATTTACAAGTGTGACATGAGGATCTGTATTTGTTATCCAACAGATTCAAACAAACATCTCTGAATATGTGAAAATTCTTATTTTGAAGATATTTTTAATCCAAAGTTGATACGATGCCAAGTAGATTTTGACAAACTTCAATAATAAATAACTAATTAAATTTGTAAAACCTTTTTTTTACCCATTTTCTTTCTCAGTATGAGTCAGACATGTTATTTGTGATTGACTACAGAAATTGTAGTTAAAAGCTCTATCTTGCATATGAATTATTACTTGTAGTACAAAATTTCCTTTATTGGATCTGTCCCCATGCTGGGAAAACATGCACAGAGAGAGACATCAGTTATATTATTTTAATAAATTATTAACAATTGCCAATGTGTCTTAATTGCTGTGAACACAGTTTTATATTTTGTTTCCTACACACATTTAGAACTATAAAACCATGTACCTAGGAAGTGATCCTAGTAGACAATACAACTGCATTTTATTTTTTGACCAAAAAAATGATTCTAACAGGCTAAAACAATCATATCAGCTCTGCTGGGCATAGCTAACCATTTTGTATTCCGGAGAAACTTTTTTCTGGTGTATCCACTGGCAATGTTTCCAGCTTTATTCAAAAACTCCTTTTTAATACCAAAACTACATATGACATACTAATAGTAGCTAACAAACAGAAACAATCTGAAACTAAAAGAAACAAAATTAATAATTAGTTCACTTGTATTTACAGCTCCTATTCACGTTACGTCACGATAAATTATTCAATTATGGCGGCAAACACTGGGATTTCGCTGTAGTTTTCCTATTTTCCGCGGTTTTCCTCGTGAAATCGACCAATTTCGGACCATCGTCCTCAAAATAATTGATGAAAAAGTTTCGGAACCCATCGACAGTAGAAACTTGAGGCGAAAATAATGAAAAAAACTGCTGTTACTGCCCGACCTGATTTCAGGTCGATAAAATAGAGCAACTCGCATAGGATAGAATTTTAGCTCTCTGATTTCGCGTTAACACCACGACGAAAGAAATACCCGACAGCGAAACCAACCGAGCTACAGAAATGCAGCTCACCTCCGACGCAAAATAACAAAAAAGTGATTGAATTAGATCCATCATTACGAATGAATACAAACAAAATTGCTTTAATTTTCACAATATCATGTCATACATACACTGTCAGTTGACTAAAGTTGTCTGTCGTTTTTTTTTCACCAAGAAACAAAATTATAAATACACAATATACTTACCAATAACAACTCCGAAATCTTCACGCTGACGAAAAACAAAATGGCGACCATAACAAAAACAATTACACTCGCGTAATCTTGCACATGTTACAACAAATTTGATTGGCTGCTGTTTTCTCGTAAATTGCGAGACTGGAACGAGAGTTTCTATGCGGGTTGTTCAGATCCAGGTGGCTTTCACGAACAAAACCATTCTTGCAGCAAAATAATGGTAACGTTAAAAAATAATTAAAATAAATAATTATAGTAATTATATATAAAAAAAATAAAAAAAATAAAGCCAACCAGGATCTTATTTTAATCAGATTGGCTTCTGAGCGACTGTCTATGAGTTTAACAACCCTTACTTTCTGAATCTCTTAATTACCACCTTTATATCTTTAGAAGACATCCGCTATGTATATCTATTATTGAGGTCAGACGTGTGTTATGAAAGCATTGTCGTGATAAAGGGACTCCAGCTAGCGTACGGATAACGCATGAAGATGCCAGTGTCGTACCTCAAAGAAATACCCACATTTGTTCATTAAAGGTAGCCCAGCTTTATTCATCAAAACGGTC